ATACCAGACAACTGAGATTATTTCATGCCCATAAGTCACTTCAAAATAAACTGGGGGCTAGAACTTTAAGACAGAACAACAAAGCAATATATAGTAGTCAGGGTGGGATGCAGGGAGAAAATGCAGATGAACTCGGGGAACTTACAGGGGCTAAGAACAGGCTTCTGATGACTGAGAGGTAACTGGGGCAAATGGGACTCGGTATGTCAGTGAAGACTAAAAGGAGTTAACTTGTGATTAAAACCAAGTTCCTAAGTGAATAGTAATGCTTTGGCAAGAAACTAGTAGGAAACAAATGAAGAAAATAGAAAAATTAGAAGTCTGTTCTTATAAGATACAGTTATGCAGTATATTCATCACAGATCCTAGGCATGCAAACTTCAACTGTTCCATGATCTTCACAGTTAATTGACATGATGACCTACTCTTATATCTAAGTTCAAAGCCATGAAAACAAAGTAGAAACAAAATTAGCATTGTCCAATTGCACATCAAATTTCTCTAAATCATGTAGATAAATCCTTTGCAAGTTAGGCATTGTCCTTCTGTGCATCCGGAGGGCATGGAGCCTACTGGACCTACAAGACCACACTCTGAAGATGATTCTATAGTCACACATACACATGTGCACACATGTCAAAAACTTTCAATAAACACCTCAATAAATGTTCAGACAAATCTGTGGTAGTGGACTTCATTCTCCATTTTACCCAGTTAATAAGATGGATTTATCAAGGATAAAGCAGAATCCATGTGTGTGCAGGATGACCCGTTATGATCCTGCCTTTACCTCCTAAGCAACCGCAAGGAGGAATTACTACCAATGCCTAAACCCGGGATGTCCGTAGATGCTGAGCCAACACCTGCTGGTGGCCATGGGGAACCACACGTGCCCAGCATGGACTGGAGGTAGATGAAGATGTGCAAAGGACCAGCGGGGTTTTGTTCACACTCCCATCCCACTCTTCCCTAGAAGCCTATATGCATATCAGCAGTTTCAAACTTCACATCAAATGCAGCTGCTCTCAAATGACTTTAAAAATCAATGAATACCACTGAAATTCAGTATCCAGTGCCATAATTTAACACAAGCTATCTTCTACCTTCCATGGTTGAAATGAACAAGCCGCCTTTCAGGTCACTAAATGTTCAAAGAAGCCCTCTGAAGTTCAAGGTCACCAAGGCCTCTTCTCCACCCATCACACAGGTCATCAGTTTGGCTTAGATTGCAAAGAAGCAGCAGCAACAGCTTCTTGGAGACCAAGTGGTGGGACACCACCTTCTTACCCACAAGCAGGAGTCATACGTCACCACCAGCTGTCACTCAGACCCTGTACCCACTTGGTGTCCCTCCTCCCACATCGAAAGAGCACTCACATCCACATACAGCTGCACACACGGCGCATTTCTGCCACACAGTCTGTGTCATGGCTCTGTGACCATTTCCACTTCCCAAACGAAGGTGGCCATAATCATACAGCAGTTGAGTGGTCACATCCTCAAAGTGTTCTAGAGTTCCATATTTGCAGGCATCAAGTAAATCTTGATTTACCAAATACAAAGCATACAGCAAAATCTTTAGATCTTTGTAAGCTAAAATAAAATGAAATGTTATTTCAAAATTATGGTAATTTCTGAATAATATGGACAGAGGTACATAGTGCTGCCCATTCTGACTGGCAAATTTACAAACCATTTGCTACTGGGAATAGTGACTCCCCATAGCACAGGTTTTTTTGTTTTATTCTAAAGGATAATAAATGTTTGTTATAACACAATGCTTATTTCTTTTTTTAGAACTGGCAGTCATGTATTCATTAATTAGGAAAGAAGTCTAATACGTATATTGTTATTATTTACCATAACAGTGGCGTCAGTTTGCACAGATGCCATTTGTTCTTGTCCCCAAAGAAAAGAGTGTATATCTTCATAGAGCGACCCTAGGTCAGAGGGCATATCTTCATAGAGCGACCCTAGGTCAGAGGGCATATCTTCATAGGGCGACCCTAGGTCAGAGGGCATATCTTCATAGAGCGACCCTAGGTCAGAGGGCATATCTTCATAGGGCGACCCTAGGTCAGAGGGCATATCTTCATAGGGCGACCCTAGGTCAGAGCCTATAATGCATATAGAGTTGACAAATCTGCCAACACTCATGGTAACATGGAACCATTCCCCACAGCATGATGGAAAAATACCAACCATACAAATAAGCCAATCTGTAGTTTCTAAAGTTCTTATCAAACACCTTCCCCCTCCCCAATAAAATTAATGCAGGCAAAGCTCTGACGTTCTCTAAAGTCATAACTGAGCAATGAAACTTCCAAACATACGCAGCCATTTAGAGACCATCTCTTTTGTGGTGGCAGGATGGATCAGCTATGCCACTAAAACCGAAATGTTCCATACAGGGAGAGGTGCATCCCAGCCTTGGCGTGCAACACAGTCAGACCGTGCACACACAGCTTCACGTTCTCTGCAGGAAGGACTTTGTGGCTCCATGTCCCTTGTGACGTCAGGGAGAAAAACCAAGGACTCCATTTTGGAGGCACCAGTCATCTGTGCTGATGCGCTGCCTCTTCGGAGCCTGCCTCCATCAAGGCCAGGGCTGGCTGCAGGAAGGACAGCAGGCAGGCCGAGCAGCTCTCTTCTTACTGCCCACCCACCGGGTCCAATCACCCCAGTGCATCTTCCTACCTCCTGTCTTTCCATAGCTTAGCCAACAACAAAACCTTCCCATCAGCCTCATCCCCCTCGTATTTAGCCCACAGCCCAGAAAAGATTTAACTATATCATTTGGGCCTCCTTTTAACCAAATCCAGAATGCTTTAAGTGAAATAAAAGGTGTCTGTCTAGTTTTCCTTTATGTGGAAATCAGATATCCAAGTATCACTTTTGTTCCCATAGGAAATTTTCCATCTTTACCTCTCCTCTGGTACTATTCTAGGCAGAGAAGTCCCCAACTGCTATCCTTCTCCATCTCCCCTTGAAATGAAACACATCACTTCATCTGCTCAACCCTAACCCTCCAACTTCAGGAGGATGCCAGGCCCTGCCAGTGCAGGGGATGAAGATTCTTCATGACGCAACCTCCAACATCCCTGGATTGGAGAAGCATGGAGGAAGGCAAGGGCCCTCCCCACTGCCTCCACCGGCAACAGGCACTAGGGGCATCACCAGCACCCTCCCTCCAGACACAGGGTCCTGCACTCGGACACCAACACAAGCCATACATCCACAGGACATGGTCTCCACCCCAGTGCACAGTGCACAGGACAAGGAGGCAGGCAGGGAGGAGAGAGGGCCAGCATCCTTGGCCCCTCCTGGCTCCTCCTGCCTCCATCCTATACCACCCTGCCTCTCTCCCATGCTCCAAGTTCACAGGAATCTGGGTCTCCAGCATTGGCCTAATCAGCTCATTCCCCACCCCACCCCCAATTTCCTGAAGATACACGTAATCCCATCTGTGGGGAAGTCTACCCAGTTGTCTTTCTACAAGGAGCTCTGAAGGCTGGCTGGGGCATTCCTGCAGAGCATCTCCACTCCAAATCTCTCCCCGCATGTGCTCAGTCCTCTGTCTCCTCCCCCTCCCCCTACCTGGCTCCTCGCTGCTGCCCCCAAACCAGGCAGTGGGTTCCTCCTCTGGGAGCTGGGGTTCTCCTCCACCTCCTCCGCCCTCGAGGGCTTTGCGCTTCTTCGACATCTCTGCCCAGGGCCTGGGGTTTGGGGGTTTTCTTTCCCCTCCCCCTGGCCCTCCCCCCTCCGAGAGGAGAGTGAAGGTGGGGTTAGGTGGAGAGGAAAGGGGTGGGAAGAAGAGGCCAGGGAGGGAGATGGAAAGAAATTGCTGTTGAAAGACAGGAGGGGACTCGGAAGGCAGACAGGAGAGGCAGGGACTTGTGCAGAAACCCCAGGATTGCTTCCATCAGTGCGGCCCTACTCTGG